CGTTAATTTAATTAGTCTCTTTTGATCACTAAATTAATTCCAAATTAATTCTTGATCAATACTAATTAAATAATATGATATCACAATTAATCTATTATACTTGTAATATATTAATAAATCATAAATAACCTCTTTCTCAAATATCCATCCTATCAGATTGTTCTGGTGAAGGCAACCTAAATGGACCATGCTACTCTCGGGTCAAGTATATACCAATTATAGTTATGGGCTTAGACACCTAATCCAACAATTTTGGACAGGTTGAGTACTTGATACTTGTAATTCAGGAGTGTGTTTGACAACTTTCTTAGGTTCTGACTGACTAGGAAGATTTGATTGTCTTTTGAGAATCTTAACAGGACCAAATGTGTTTTGATTCATAGAAGAAGATTTGTTGTTACTCCTAGACACATTCCTTTTGGAATTTTCAAGAAATCTAGAGTTTTGTCTTGTCCTAACTTCCTTCTTAAGGGCATTTTTGGATTCTTGCTTAGGACAAATGACATCTTTTTGGTTCAAGGAGGGTTTCTTTCTTTGGTCAGATGTTGACTTGGATGATTGGCCACTTGAAGGATTTCCAAACTTGGGCTTGATGGGCACCAAGGTTGTTTTAGAGGTTACCAAGGAATTTGATTCACAAGAATCAGAGGAGACATTTCTTGAGGTTTCAATGTTATCATCTAAGGATGCCCATGCAAACTCAGAAGTAACAATTTCAGTTGTCACAGAAAGTATTTCCTCAACAACACAGTTGTTAGGAGGATTGTCTTTCAGAACATAATCTATGCGATTTGAAACACTATGGTGGAATTCTGTGGTCCGATTCAGGTCCAGGTTTATCAGAGGCGGAAGTGGTGTGGAATCAGGACACTTGACAACAATTGGTTTGAATTCAGGAATTAAGGAAGAAAATTTGTCAGAGGTCTCAGGAAGGGGTGACAAAGGAGAACAGGAGTATCCGAATGTTGATGGTTTGGAAAATCTCCCATAAAAGTCAGGTTTTGTAACTCCTTCAAGGGACTAACTATTGGTTTTGGAAATTCGCTTCCGAGACCAGGAGCTTTTGACCAAGGATGATGAAAGCTATGAGTCATCCGTGGATTTGCTTCAAGCAAGTCAATAGAATTATGCAAAGCATCTATTTTGGTATTGAGATGTTTTTTATCAGAAATTAAAACATTTCTTTCAGAATAAGTGATTTTACATTTGTCTTTAAGAGTGATACATTCATCTTGTGACATTACAAGCTCTCGTTCTAAAGACTCTATTTTTAATTTCTTATCCTCGAAACGTAACCTAAGACGACTGAATTCACTGTACTTCTTCTCACTGGCTTCTATGTCTGACTAATAGGCTCTATAGATGGTGTTCATATTTGTTTGGATCTGGGTCAGATAAGATTCACAATTAGTAATCATAGATTTTACTTGCTGAACGTTGCTTCGACTTGGTGGATCGTTGGTGGCCATGTAGCAATAGTTTGGTTCAGCAACATCATCTTCATCTTCTGACCCTGAAGACCAATAGCCTTCATCACACTCAATTGTTTGTCTCGCCATTAGACACATGTTTCTTCCAGTAACCATATCATCATCATCTCCAGACGACCAATATACTTTCACATCTCTAGACACGGTTGTAACAAATACCTTTTCACTTTCAGCCATTTCCTGGGCTCTTCGGGAATAGTAAGCAGAGTCCTTGATTTTCGGTTTTTGTGGAATATCAGCCAGACAATCTTTTGCAAAATGGTTTGCATGACCACACTTATGACACACAATTTTAGGTTTGTCAGATTTTGGAGCCTGTTGAGGTTCCGGGATGGAATTGGGTTTAGTGATGTTTGGTTTGTAGGCTGGTGGAATTTCCGGAGTGGATTGAGGTTCTGGAGCAGAGTATGGTTGGGGATAATTTTGATGAGGAGCATCAAAACGAATGTGATGTGGTTTGTGAGTGGGATTAAGTGGACGTTTGTATTTCATGGAGAGCAGTGCAAACTCCTGTTGGAAACGGAGTTCAGAGTCCATAGCTTTGGAATCATCAATAGGATAGTTCCGAGTAGATAGGATAGGTAAGGAGGGTTAAACAGGTGGAACAACGGATTTGAGACGGTCCGAGATGGATGGGTTTGGAATAGATGGTTCAAAGGAACTAACGAGAGCAAGAGGACCTCCGGAGAGTTCTCTTAAGGTCTGAGCAACGTTTGATTCATGACCTTGAAGTTCATCAAATAGTTGGTAAAGCTTCAGCTTCTTCAGAGATCCATTGCTTTGAAGACAAGATTTCACGTTTCCCCATCCTTTAACGAGGCTGTTTATGAACTTGATTGTACTCCAAGGGAGTTCGGAGAACCCCATGAGCAATAATGTTGTTGACTACGATTTGATATTGGTTGGAGGCTGAGGCAACTGATTCACCAGGAGTTGTTGCAAAGGTGTCAAACTCATTTACAACAGATTTTAGACGCTTGTATTTCATATTTTCCGAACCTTCGATCAAATCTTGAAGAGTGTCCCAAAGCTCTTTGGTAGATTTACACATCTTAATGTGTTCAAAGAGAGATGGTGGAACGCCAAACACCATTTCAGAAAAGGCAACTTGATCAACATGTAGGTTTTCAATATCGTCTGCAGTAAGAGTTACTGGGTGGTTTTCATCTTGACCCATGAGTTGAGCAACAACATCTCTAACTGTTGTTCTAACTAGAACATGAGGACCTTCTTTGCCGGATCTCCAGATAGCTTCACCTTTCTCTTTAGCCAGTAAAAACCTTTCCATTCTGACTTTCGAATGATTATATTCTTCAACAACTGGTAGTGGGGCACGAGTAGGGCAACCCACGCTATTTGCTATTTGCATTGAATACATTTGTTGAGGATTAGAAGCAGCCATTGAAGTTAAGATATCTTCAAGCAAAAGTGGTATATAGAAGAACTTTTATCCTGGACACAGAAATGGTTGAAATACCAAGGTAATTTCAAACCAACTATAATATGATCTTATGGATTCAAAGGACAACCACTCAACCTCTAATACCAATTGAGGGTTCCCATTTTATCGATTGGATCGGTGCGGAAGATATTACCAAGAAGATAATCGTGTATGAACATGAAGAACATAATATGTGAGTAAAATTGTAGTAGTTAAATAAAGAGATATGAAATATTACAATAACACTCATGGGTTGGGAGAGATAACTCTCCCTTGGTGGGAGAGATCCCACCACACTCTCTCTAAACTACAAAGTATACATAGTGCACTGTTACTAACAAATGACCATCACCTCCACTTTATATACTAGTGGAGGGAATATGATTTTCATACAAGGGAATATTCTAACCTAATCAACACTCAACATTGTAGAGCATTTTCATGCTCCAAAACCAACGTCATACAAACCATATCAATATCATATAAACAAACAACATGTATAATGAGACATCAGCTTGACTAGACCGCCTCGCAGGGCTATCAGTATATCTGGACCGCTCTCCGAGCCATCGGTACGTCTGGACCGCCTCTCAGGGCCTTCAACCTATCCGGACCGCTCGCCGAACTTTCGGCCTGACTAGTATGCCATCCCGGCCTGGAGTCTATCCGGCCCGCCCTGGGTATGTTGGCCTTCAGCACAAAGCAGGTCCGCCTCAACCCAACTCCCAAATCAAACAATCATGTGCACATAAATATCATACGCTACCATATATACAATCAAACCGATCTAACAGATCACTAATCATAGCAACATCCTATATACCAGGATACCGACCTAACCGGTCACTAACATAACATTATCCTATATACCAGGATACCGACCTACCAGGTCTCTAAGCATATCACCATCCTAACTACTAGGATGCAAATCAATAAGCATATCATTAGGGATGTCAAAAACCCCCGCGAGACCCCGTTCCCGTGGGACCCCGATACCGTACGGGACTAATTTTAAAAAAAATTCGGGAGCGGGAGCGGGGGCGGGGGCGATATTAACTCCCGTTTATTTTCGGGACCGGGGGCGGGAGTGAGTATTTCCGTCCCGTACTCCCGCGGGGGCCCCGTTTATATTTATATAAAAAATATATATATATTTAATTTAAAATACAAATGGAAAATTAGGGATTTTCTTATTCCGTCAATCCGTCTCGTTCATTCTCATTCTCGGTCAGCCCCTTCACAAATCACAATTGACAGTACACGATAATACGAATGACGCCTAGGTTACGACTTCAACTTCCTCCTTCCTTCCCGTAGGAGTCCTTCCTTCCCATTATACACGATTATACGATGTAGTTTACTCCGACTACGATAGGCGAGTAGGCAGGCGAACAGCAGCGAGGTTTATTAAGGTTTACCGTTTATTCAGTGTTTCCGACTTCAGCTTCCTCCTTCCTTCCCGTCACCACCGCCGACCGCTTATGCATTCCACGGTAATGTCTTTCCTTCTCCATTTGCGTTTCTGTCTTTCCTTCTCCGATTCAATTGATAGTCGATTCTACCACTTGACTGATTTCGATTTCTCAATTAAGATTTATTCAGTGTTGTTGATTTCGATTTCTCAAACATTAGTGTGGATTAAGGTTGCTTGCTGCTATCAATTTCTCAATTAAGGTTTATTTTGTCTTTCCTTCTCCGATTCAATTCACAGTCTTAATTTAATTTTGCTTGCTGCTATTAATTTCGGTCGTGACAGTTCACACTTCACAGTCTTAATTTGTTGATTGCTGCTATCAATTTCACAAACTAGAAGTCTAGAAGTGTAATTGAAGTTTAGAACTATAATAGAATCTAGAAGTCAATTGTGTTTATAAAGGGCTTACATGTTTGTTTATATAAATGTATTGTCATCACTTCTTGGAACTGTAATAGAAGTTTTGGATCAATTCATGATTTTTAATTTTATAATTTTCATCACTTTAATCATACATGTATTTTTTAGCTAGATAAGTCATATACACGATTTCTCACCGATTGTTTGTGTGAACCATTTTCAGATTTTTGTAATCATGTCTTCAGTAGAACCGAATCAACCCAATGATTCAAACACGATTAATGATACCGCCAATTCTGCAGTTAACTATAACAAGAGACAAATTAAATTTACATCTCCAATGTGGCGTCATTTCACCTATGAAGAAATTAATGGAACCAAAAAGGTTGTTTGTAAGTATTGTAGAAAGACATATTAGCCCGGATTCATGAGTTTGATGTGTTAGGTTGGTGGAAGTTAAATGGGGTTAAGTATCCTACATTGTGTTTGATTGCAAAAGACATATTAGTCATTCCTATCTCCACTATTGCTTCAGAGTCTTCTTTTTCTACAAGTGGTAGAATCGTTGGTCCACATAGGAGTAGACTTCTTCCGTCGACAATTGAAGTTATCATATGCACTAAAAATTGGCTATGGGCGGGTAAAAAAAGTATGTATGAATTTGCTTGAACCATTGTTTTTTAATTCATTTTAATATATTATGCTTATTACCTTTATTTATTTTTTCTTTGTTAGGTTGTGTTATTGATGGTGATGATGTACATTTAGATGAAGACGACGAGGAACTTGAGGTAAGATTGTTCAATTTATCGTTTTGTATTGAATAAACTAATATAATAATTTCTTTTAGGGAGGATATTCGAATGTCAGTGAATGAAGAGTTGAAGGAAATTAATGGATACTGAAGATGTAGTGAATTGGTGTTTCATATTTGTAATTTTGGATTTGTCGTATTTTGCATTTGTAATGTTGGATTTGTCTTCGTAAGATTGTTGGATTTGTCTTTGTAAGAGTGTAAGATTGTTGGAATTGTTGGATTTTTAATTTTTTAGTTTCTAAAAGATTATGTTTTAAGCTTTTAAATTTACTAAAAATAGTATTTTTTCCAAAAACAAAACAGTTTTTTAGCAAAAAAAAATCAAATTTTAAGCAGGGGAACCGGGGGAACGGGAGCGGGACCGGGGGCGATGGAGGTAACCGGGGCGGGACCGGGGGCTGTGTAAACGGGGGATCCGAGAGCGGGAGCGGGGGCGGGGGCAACACCTGTTTTTGTGGGCGGGGGCGGGGGCACCTATTACCGCTCCCGTTTTCCCCCGTTGACATCCCTGCATATCATGCAATAAACCCAGATACAAATCCGAAAAGGGCCGACATTGGTGCCTTCGACCCTGTTAGTATAGTGAGGACAACTCACCTCACAAGTAGCTAGGGATGACAATGTCAAATCCTCCAAATACAAATCCAACTCAAACACCTACATCTACCAATGATCCACTTCCATAAACTCCCAAATTACTAAAATACCCCTAGAAGTCAAAATGGTCAACCCTTGGTCAAAGTCTAAGTCAACGGTCAAGGTCAACAGTCCATGTTGACCCAACTCGTCGAGTTTAGCCCACTGACTCATCGAGTTCTTCTAGAACTCGAGCAATCGTGAAAACCCTAGTTGACTCGCTGAGTTTCTAGACAACTCGTTAAGTCCATGCGATGTCCAAATGTCGGGAAAAACCCTAACTAACTCGTCGAGTCATCTCCCTGACTCGCCGCGTCCATGCAGAACCAATCCAGGCAATCTTCATCCGACTCGTCGAGTTGCCCATGCAACTCATCGAGTCCCTTCAGTCCATTTCTCATTCAAAAGTATTGAAGCTACCCCAAAGCTCTAAATTGCAGATCTAACCTCCTAGGGCATGGTTTCCACGTAAAGTTGCAAACTTTTCGTACATGCAAGGTCCTAAATGCCAAAACCAAGCTAAGGAAAGGGTTTTAGGTAAGGAGAAGGTCATAACTTGCCAAAGACTGGAACTTTATGACTATAAGGAGCTAGAGGAGTCCAGATCTGAAGTTACAACTTCAGATCATGCCCAAAACCAGAAATGACTCCACCATAAACTAGAAATAGCCGTAAACCTTTGCATGAAGAGATCTAGCTAGAGAGAAGTCAAGGTAACGACTTGTTACCTTCAAAATGATGCTAAGATGAAGTAGAATCAGATCCCCAAGTTTCTCCTTGCTCCAAGCTCCTTAGCCTTCAATCTTTCTTCACAAAATCCACCTTCCAAGCTTCTTAACACACAAAAATGGAGAGTAGGCGCGATTAGGGTTTTCTGAGCTCAAGAGGGACGGTAAGGGAGGCAGAGGGAGGCTAATGACCCTTTAAATAAGGTGCAAAACCCTGGAAATTAGGGTTTCATTTTCCAACTCCTACTCGTCGAGTTGGGGTCCTCCAACTCGTTGAGTTGACCTCATAAATCACGCGACCTGATCCTGTTCTACACGACGAGTTGGGGCATCCAACTCGTCGAGTAGGTCTAAGAATGTGACTATAAGCTTTAAATTTTATACCTGGGAGTCGGGGTGTTACAGTAAAGATCACTGGTGACCAGCAAGATTCCAAGGAGTGCTACAAAACTTCGATGAAATCTTCAAAAAATACAATGAAAAGGATATGAATTAAAGTAGGGGCACGAGGTGTGTTGGAAGCAAGAGAGCAGGATGTAAAGGAAGTGCCCTTGAGCCTTGAGGATCCTGAATCTAAAGTCCTCATAGGATCCTCAATGCCAGAACAAATCGAGCAAGAACTAATAAAGTTCTTGAAAGATAGATGCAAAACATTCGCCTGGAAGCATGAAGAAAGTTTGCACCTGAAAGGAACCAGATCAAGGAAGTCAAGTTCCCAAGATGGATAGCCAGTGTTCATCGTGCAAAAGAAGAAAAAAAAACGGAGAGTATGTGTGAACGATATGAATCTGAATAAGGCTTACCCTAAGGATCCTTTCCCCCTGCTACACATAGACTCCATGATAGATACTATGACTGACCATGAACTGCTAACATTTATGGATGCATCATCGGGGTTCCAAAAAATCCAAATGGAACCATCTGACCAAGAAGATACCGCATTCATTACCCCAACATGTATGCACTGATGGGTTTGAGCCATAAGAACTTTCCTATGTGCACATGTAAACCCTAATGCTTGGATCTAGGTTTCTCTAATTGAACATGCAATGTATCCAAGGCTTACAATTCTAGATCTAGTGAATACAATACAAACTTGACATATGAAATCAGATCTAGATAAATACCTTTAGTTGCTTGCTTGAATCTTCTTGTTCTTGGAGCTTAGAGTCACAATTGTCACTCCTCTAATGGCTTACAAACACCAACTAGCAAGAGGATGATTTGGAGAGAGAGGAGAGGTGTAGAAATCGGCTCTAGGGTTCCCAAGGAAGCAAGGTGGTCGATTTCTCCAACCCTAGGGGTTTATTTATACTGTGAGCTTCTAGGGTTACATCCTTAACCCTAATTGAATAACTTAATCCCTAAGCAATCCAAGGATCCTTCTAGAGTAAGGCTTGGACGAATTCATGGAGCCCATACTCCTTAATTTCGGCCACCCTATAACTCATAAGGATCCATAGCCCAAAACACAACTATCACACATTTGACAGTTTAAGCCCCTTTATTCAATTAACCTCTTTTAGTCACCTAATTAATTCTTAATTAATCTATGACTAATATTAATCAAATAATATTATTATTCCTTTAATATATTATTCTCATAATATATTAATATAATAATATCTTCTCTCTTTTCATAAATCACCCTGTCAAGTTGCTATGGTGAAGGCAACCCAAAAGGACCATGCACAACCGGGTCAAGTACTTACCAAATATAGTTATGGGCTTAGACACTAATCCAACAGTCTCCCACTTGGATAAGTCTAGTAACTAAAAATGTAAGCACAATCCGATTAGCAATCGTAGCTCTCAAAGACGTTGTCAAACTCTGATCTTATCAGCAACCTATCCTTTAGATAAGGGATCGTATAATCCTCTGTTCTAGATATCGTGCGGACAATTACATGGAACATTGTCATACTTATTGTCCTGCAATTGGTTTCTCGATCTCAGATTCATTTGACATAGAACTTAATTGAACACATCAACTCAGTCCTGACCAGGCCCGACACATAAGTCAAGTCAAATCATCGAGGGGCCCTGATATTGCAATCATACACAACAATGCGTTTTATAACATCAAGTTACTGATGCGTTTACGCATTATCAATGCACAATCAACTAGCAAACAATAAATCATATATCTAGGTTTTAAGACCATATGATATTACCATCTTGCGATCACTCGTGATAAATTCCATGAAGTGATTCCAGCAAGTGTGGGTTTATTCCAATGCTCAAATCAAGTTCATAAGCACTCATGAACGTTGTAGCAAACCTTTTCTATGTATAATACACTTTATACAATCTACACACTAATTCATGCCAGTTTTCATTCATATCTACTTCCAACATATGAACGACTGTGGACCGTTCGACTAATTCGATTATTATCAAATAATTCAATTATTCAGGAAGTCAAAACATTCAAAATGAAACAATAGGTAAATGATTAACATAAGACAATAACTTTACTTATAAATAATACTCTTTTATTTAATCATCGAATGTTAATAACAACTTTATCTATTAACGTTTCTAAACTATCTAATCTAAACTAATATCGTCCTTCAGCCCAATGCTCCTAGCGTGCTGCAAATGCTTAACCCTGCTCAGTCCCTTCGTAAGCGGATCTGCTGGGTTTCCTCTGACGATACCCTCTTCACTACGAGGAGTACTTCTTCCACCCGATGTCAAATAAAGTGATATTTTTTGTCGATATGTCGAGATCTACCGTGATCCCTTGGTTCCTTGGTCAAGGCAACTGCTCCTTCATTATCACAGAAAATTTCCATAGGCTCCTTTATGGCTGGCACAACTCTAAGGTCTCCAATGAAGTTCTTCAACCATATTGCCTCCTTTGACGCTTCGCTTGCTGCAATGTACTCTGATTCGCACGTTGAATCAGCTACGGTTTCCTGCTTGGAACTCTTCCAAGTTACTGCTCCTCCATTGAGGGTAAAGACCCAGCCCGACTGCGAACGGTAGTTGTCCCTGTCGGTCTGAAAAGCTGGCGTCACTGTACCCTCGCACCTTTAAGTCATCACTAGCACCGAGGACTAGAAACCATTCCTTAGTCCTCCAAAGGTACTTAAGAATATTCTTAACTGCAATCCAATGCGCTCTGCCATGGTTCCCTTGATAGCTGCTGACCATGCTCAAAGCGAAGGCCACATCAGGGCGAGTACAAGTCATAGCATACATGATTGAGCCAACTAAGGAAGCGTAAGGTACTCGACTCATCTCTGCTATCTCGACTTCAGTACTCGGACTTTGAGTCTTACTCAATTTGGCATTACTTTGGATTGGTAATTCCCCTTTCTTTGAATTCTCCATACTAAAACGTTTTAGTACCTTGTCCAAGTAAGTATTCTGACTAAGTCCTATTAGTCTCTTACTTCTGTCTCTCATTATCCTTATTCCCAGAATATAGGAAGCCTCTCCGAGATCCTTCATAGCGAAGCACTTCCCGAGCCAGGACTTAACCTCCTGCAGTGTCGGGATGTCGTTTCCTATGAGTAGTATGTCGTCAACATACAATACGAGAAACCTTACTACACTCCCACTGGCTTTGACATATACACATGATTCATCTTCGCTTTGCAGAAAACCAAACTCTTTGACCTTCTCTTCGAAACAAAGA